TGCCAGTTGCGAGAAAGCACCTTTGATTTTGTCCTCTTTTAATAACCCGGGTGATTTTAGTCGCTCAGTTTTATCTCATGTGGGCATATCCCAAAAACATGTTTTAACACACTGCTGGTATCTAGTTCTTGGATATCTGCACAAGGGCGGGACATCCATTGTCCACAAAAATGACATTTACCCATGTGGAAGCCCGGTGTTTGACGGACCACAGACGACACACAGCGTCATAATGATTTAATGGGTGATTTACTGCAATTCTTCTAGCAACCGCTTGAAATATTCTTTTAAGAACCTCCCTTAAAAGGAAGCTTCGAGTTATTTGTATTTCTGTTTCTAACTGTTTTTTGTAGATTGGACAGCTTACCGTGCATGTTTCCTGAGGTTATATTAATGTTTGTGTTGATAAGGGCCCAACAACCCCTTCCGTTGAACAGTCCTCGTTAGTCCAAGGTAACCGTTTGAGACCATCATAGGGTTCGGCCAGTCATCTAATCTGATGGCAGTGGTCACTTATTTAATACATACTGGCGGTGATTTTGAGCTAACACATGATGGATCTACCGCATTTATCTACCCGTGTAATAGTGATTTGATTGTACAAAAGTATAACTTGCATGTTGAAGAATCCATGACTGCTGGCAAACGCCTACAATGACGAACCGGTCGAACCTCAACCCTTGTTTTATCATTCGCTGTATCTAGCTTTTCTATGGGGTTGTTTCCGTCTCCACGCAAGAAATAAATGTCAGTTTAGAGCCAGGAATGTCTGCATTGGGTTCATGTCTGGACCCTATTTTGAAATTGACAATGTTTTTAATTTTCATGAAATTGGCCAAATAGTAAATGGGCAGTTTCTGGTACTTCAAAATTGATTGAACAAATGGAGTTTAAAAGAAAATAGTTATGAGGTGGGCCACGAACAATGGAATATAGCCAAAATAAGGCTCCATAGTGGGCAACATTGCTGGAATTGTAAATTCACCGAGGTCGCCAACTCACGATGAGCGTAATTCCGTAAGTGTTCCATCATTTTCATACTTTGGTGTCATTACCACTGGGAAAAAGTCTGTATCAGTTCATTTTTTTTTTTTGTCAGAATTTTGCAACGCCAGGGGAGACCTAAAGATTTTGAGGTGGGCACAATAAAGGTTAATAACAATCGACCTTATTACACCATCTGCAATTTTTATTATGCCATCTGCAGTTTTTATTACCCTCTTTCCCTCCCCATCCCCATTTACCTCTAGTCCTCACACTATCCTTCCTTTTCTTTACCTTTTATTAACCTTTGCACATTTCTCCTTTAGACGATCCTTAACACTGCAGTTCGGAATGACCCTCTTGAGTTTAGCACCCTTTTGATTTTTAATAGTATTTTCATCTCGCAAATATAACTACATATCTGTGCTCATAATCCATTCTGTAAAATTACTAAATTAAAAAGAAAAACTTTTTGTTTTTATTTTAGGTCGCCCTGCCTTGGTGGGATACAGCTAGGTTAGTAAAAAAAAAAACTAGATACCCAGATGATACCCATTACTATTTCCATCTACACATGTGGTTAAAATCCGACGAGAAAAAATGGCATCGTTTATAATAAAATCATGTTGTCAAATTTACAGTTGTTGATATAATTTGGACTTTCCTTTTTGCAGTTGATGTAATCACAAGAATTATACTTGTGGGCCATCATCCAGTTACAATGAAAGGTTGGAAGTGCAGAAATACTGAAAACTGTGTGAACAATGTGTATTGGTGACTACATTGTTAGGAATCGCCTGAATTCCAGACTATCAGAGACCTCATTATTCTACAATTACATCTACACCTTCAACTACCAGTCCAACATTTAAAGTCAACTATACTATAATATTGTACTGATAATAATATAACACTATACATATATTATCAACATGTTTTAACTAAAGTGATTACCTCAGAAGGTTATCAACCAGTATGAAGGAGGTGTTAATGTTGCAGTTTAAAAACTGGAAGTGGATACACCCTTCTGGCAAGACAGTGATGGAGTGAATGAGGTGAAAGTTTTTTTTCTTTTTTTGGGCCACCCTGCCTTGGTGAAGCGGCCAGTGTGATAAGAAAAAAATAATAAAATTATGAAGTTAATAAAGCAGCCTGAATATAGTAGGGAAATCATTTTTTCTAAATTTAGTACATAGAACATAAGGTTAGAATTGTATTTATTGACTGTTTGGAAAAAGATGTAATGTATCATCTGTTACATTTTTCTATTAGGGACTGTGGGTTAGGGTAGCATCTATAGGTCCTCATCTACTTCAATATTTTACTTATATTAATGACTGTGGTAGGATAGTTTATCATCTCTATATTGTCCCTCTACTTCAAGTATTTTATCTTATATTAAATGACTTGGGGAGGATATTGTTCATCTATATTGTTGTCCTCTCCATTTCAGTATTTTATTTTCACATTTTAGCCAAATTCATTATTGAAGATGTCTTTATTATCTTACTGGACAACTTATAAAAGCTTTTGTTATTATATTTTCCTACATAGATTCAGTATGGCTTTATGAGATCTTTCTTTATGTTGACCGTCCTCAAAGTTGTGGTATTAACACTTAAACGTCCACAACGCCCGTATTGAAAGACCGTGAGTTCAAGTTTTTTTAAAAAAATATAAAAGTATGTTGTCATCTGAAAGAGTGAAAAATCTTTTTCTAAAGGTAATATTTATGCCAGAAAAAATAAAGGTTCATGACTAGAAGTTGGGCAACATAATAGCAATTTCCTTTAATTTGATGAATCCCATTTTAGGCCATTTCACTGCTCAGATATTTGGCTAAGATATCTGTCCGCACTAAAATTGATTGCAAAAATTTTGCTCAGTTTACTAAAATTACCCATTAAGGAGACTCTGACTTTGGAGTTGACAATTTTACAAAAGTTAAAACAAATGCTGGTGGAAAAACACTGTAGAGTTTCTGCCTGGAAAGTGTTTTTTCCGACCACTTTATCAATAATAATATCTCCGGCTTCTCATATGCAACACTTGGTTGGCATTATAACCTTCATCACACACAAAAATTCCAGTGTTTTCTTTTCTTGGATCATACTTCTTAAATAATTTCTGTCAGTTTTAAGTATTTCGCCCATTTTCTTTTTTTCTATCCTAAGTAATTTTCTTAGTTTTGTCTGTGGTGCTATAGCCTAAAAACAAACCCAAAAAATCCCCACCAAGCTTTTATTTTTAATTGAAACAACAGAGATAAGGATAGCTGTTACCACATGCCCTGTCTGACAGGAATTATTTTTATACTGTGCACACTCAACCAAACACAGTCTCCTGTCTACCAATCTTCGCTGCTCAGTCACTTTTGAGGCCTCTGGAATTAATTGTAAAAAAAAATGGCAATGTTTTGATTATACAGAATAAGTTGTAAAGTGTAATTTAACTCATAACTAAATAAGGTTCTTAAAGTTTAATAATCTAAATATAGTTTTTGAAAAATAATAATAATAATCATTTAGAAGAAAACCATATGTGTAAGTGCGCTTTACTACCAATATTAATTTTAAACTTCAAATAATATGTAATATGCAAGAGTTTTAAAAAGCAGAAGAATTTAATAGCAGTATTCATTAATCAAAAGGACTTTCTCTCAGTAAGTAACAAAATTACAATGGAATGAAAAGGTCCCTTCAGAAAAAACACTTATAAGTGTTCAGAGTGTATTATAGACATTTTATATAAATCACATCTAATAACACACTTGAGAGTTCATTCTCAAGAAAAACCATATCAGTGTTCAGATGTTTGAAAAACTTTCATGTAAATCCAACATCTAATAACACACTTGAGAGTTCATTCACAAGAAAAACCATAGCAGTGTTTCAAGTGGTTAAATAAACTTGTCATGTAAATCACATCTAATAACACACTTGAGAGATTCATTCACAGAAAAACCTTATCAGTGTTCAGAGTGTATATTAAGCTAGTGATGACAAAATAATAAAAAATAATAAATGTACAATAAAATAGTAACGTACACTATATGCACCACACGTATATATGTATTAATGGCACTTATCTAATCTGTTACAAAAATGAGTCACTTTCTAAGGAAGGTAGAGAAAATCGTGTTCATTTGAGATAGTATATTGTTGTCCTGTTTGAGGTTTTCCCTTTACTAGTATTTTCCATCACGAGTGAAACACTATGTATTTTGTTTCCCTGTTTAATTTTCCCTCTAGCCTGAAACAAGAAGTTTTGTTACTTTTTTTGTTATGTTGTTGGATATGGTGCTGAAATTCAGTTTGTTGAGAGGGAGAGGTCTAGAATGTGCCCTCTTTATTGCTGGCAAATTAGAGTGTTGTTGATCTTCTTAGTGTTAAGTGTCTCACCATTGATTTCTCACCTAATGTGGTGCAGGGTTAAGACTTCACTAGTGGCCCTCCCTCTTCTCTGAACATACTAGGTCCCTCCCTCCGTCCCCATGCTACTCCCTGAGCTTTATTCATCACGTTGTCTTAAAGCTTTGTATGGTTCCTGCATCCACTACATCACTCACCAGACTGGGCCAATTCCTTGGCCACTCTATGACTGAAGAAATAGTTTTCTTCCTAACATATCTGTGACTCTTCTGAGTACTTCAACTTCCAAGGGTGACTCCTTGTATCGGTCCCTCTCTTCTCTGAACATCTTGTCTCTTCCACCTTGTCTATTCCACACAGATGTTTGATTGTGTTATCATGTCTCCCCTAACCCTCCTGTCCCTCCAGTTGTCGTCAGGCTGATTTCTTTCAACCGTTCTTCGTAGGACATCCACTCTAATATTCTTAATGTGCTTTTGATCCGCAGTGCGAGTACAAACTGGTTCTGCATACGCCGGTATGGCCGGAAGGGGGGGGGCCCAGTGTACGGTCTTGAAGATTCCTACTTAAGTAATCGGAACGCTAATCTCAGGTTTGGGCCAGGCCCCATATGGTGCAACAGTTTATCTGGTTGATGTGAAAAATTTTTTCAGAAATCACATCTAATAAGACACATGTGAGTTCATTCACAAGAAAAACCGTATCAGTGTTCAGAGTGTTTGAAAGATTTTTCATGTAAATTGCATCTGATAAGACACATGAGAGTTCATTCACAAGAAAAACCATATCAGTGTTCAGAGTGTTTGAAAGACTTTTCACAAAAATCACATTTAATAAGACACATGCGAGTTCATTCACAAGAAAAGCTTTATCAGTGTTCAGAGTGTTTGAAAGACTTTTCACGTAAATCACATCTAATAGGACACATGAGAGTTCATTCACAAGACAAACCATATCAGTGTTCAGAGTGTTTAAAAAACTTTTCAAATAAATCAAATCTAATAAGACACATGAGAGTTCATTCACAAGAAAAACCATATCAGTGTTCAGAGTGTTTAAAAAACTTTTCAAATAAATCGCATCTAATAAGACACATGGAAGTTCATTCACAAGAAAAACCATATCAGTGTTCAGTGTGTTTAAAAAACTTTTCACGTAAATCACATCTAATAAGACACATGGGAGTTCATTCACAAGAAAAACCATATCAGTGTTCAGAGTGTTTAAAAAACTTTTCACGTAAATCACATCTAATAAGACACATGGGAGTTCATTCACAAGAAAAACCATATCAGTGTTCAGAGTGTTTGAAAAACTTTTCATGTAAATCACATCTGATAAGACACACGAGAGCTCATTCACAAGAAAAGCCATATCAATGTTCAGAATGTTTGAAAGGCTTTTCATGTAAATCGCATCTGATAAGACACATGAGAGTTCATTCACAAGAAAAACCATATCAGTGTTCAGAGTGTTTGAAAGACTTTTCACAAAAATCACATCTATCAGAGCACATGAGAGTTCATTCACAAGTAAAACCATATCAGTGTTCAGAATGTTTGATAGACTTTTCACGTAAATCACATCTAATAAGACACATGAGAGTTCATTCATAAGATAAACCATATCAGCGTTCAGAGTGTTTGAAAGACTTTTCCTCTAAATTCAAAAAAAAAAAAAAAAAAAAAAAGAATCATATCACTGTTCACTGTGTTTAAGATTTTTCACAAAAATCACATGTACTATAATACATGTTATTTCATTAACTTGAAAAACCATATCTCTTTTTAAAGGACTTTTCCCAGAAAATAATTCTAGTACTACACATGAGAGTTCATTCTAGTAGCCTACCAGGCCACAGGCCTGGTAGGCTAATATGCATTTATGCTATTATGCAACTTCTACTGCAACTCGAAGCTAGATTGCAAAATTTGGAATTCATTACCAGGAAATACTAAAGTAACCCAGTCTGAAAATCAATTTAAGACTCTTCTCAAAAGCCATTTAATCACCCCAGACTAAATACTGAATACTCAATAAATCTACCAATTATCCAAATCTTAAAACTTTAAGACTAGACAACCAAGTTCATATGTTGACAAATTACCACTTAGAAGTATAGCGGACCCCCAACATTCAGTGGCATCGACATTCGATAAATCCGATGTTCGATGCATTTTAATGCAAAAATTTTGCCTCAACATTCAATTGAAAACCCGCTATTCGATGCAATTCGTACGAGATGTGTCCATGTATGGCTTGAACCGCCCCGTGTGTGCCAGTGTTTACAAGCCAGGCAGTGTGCACGCATCTAAGGATACATTCAGTATATTCCATATTATCACTGTTTTTGGTGCTTGCTTCTGCAAAATAAGTCACCATGGGCCCCATGAAATGAAGAAAGAGATAATTGCAAAGAAAGAAAGTGGAGTGCATGTGTCGGAGCTGGCCAGGTTGTATAGTTAACCCCAATCAACCATAGTGAGCAGGAAAACGGCAATCAAGGAAGCTGTTGTTGCAAAAGGTGCAACTTTGTTATCGAAACAGAGATCGCTAGTGTTAGATGTTGAGAGACTGTTAATGGTGTGGATAAATGAAAAACAGATAGCAGGAGATAGCATCTCTCAAGCAATCATTTGCAAAAAGGCTAGGCAGTTGCATGATGATTTGGTAAAGAAATTGCCTGCAACTAGTGGTGATGTGAGTGAATTTAAGGCCAGCAAAGGTTGGTTTGAAAGATTTAAGAATCGTAGTGGCATACACAGTGTGGTAAGGCTAGTCCTAGTGGCATTAAAAGAAGAAGGGAAGTAACCTCAGAAAAAGACTTGATACCTCTATTCCTAATGGAAGGGGATTCCCCTTCTAAACACTAACACCATCCACACTCTCCCCTTCTCCCATCCCATCAATCATCACCAGATCCTCATTTAAGGTAAGTGTCAGTTATTCTGTTATTAATCTATTGTTATTGCTGTTATTGTAATTCTATTGCATTAAATTTAATATTTCATGTGGTAAAAAAATTTTTTTTTCATACTTTTGGGTGCCTTGCATGGATTAATTTGATTTCCATTATTTCTTATTGGGAAAATTAATTCACCTTTCGATATTTTCGACATTCAATGAGCTCTCAGGAATGGATTAATATCGAATGTTGGGGGTCCACTGTATACATACCTACCAAAAGCAGTATTACCCTTCACCAAGTTGTAGCATTCTCATACTGTAAACTATTGTTAACTACTGGAAACCACTCTTGAATCGTGTTTCATAAAAAGCATTTTTGAATATATGAATATATCCTTTGGTTTGTATAAATTAGATTCACTTATAATTAATAGAACTACTATGCAACTATGATAAATTTCTTTAGTTTTAAGTAGTCAGTAAGCCACTAAATTAAGTCTGCCCATAATGCCTAGGTATAATAGAGGCTCTCTTTGTACTGCAACCCCATTATTGTAAAAATATAATTTCAGTGTACTACTTTCAAAGAAATAAATGAATTTAAATCATCAGTGTTTATGTTTATGCCTTAGTGCCTCTCTTTCATCCTCTGTTGAAAGCCTCTATGCTGAGGCAAATATTCCTTCCTTAGCCAATCGTCAGGATGCTTATTGCCTTCATTGTTTTGTCAGTGTGCATGAGCTTAGTTTTCCTTCTACATATAGGTTTGTCTCTTATTTGATCAGTGCCCCTGCTTACTCTCAACTTTCTCTTTGTCTTAACTCACCCCGCTCTTCTTTCCAGTTGCCTCCCTTGTATGTTGATGTAGCATCTTAGTTTCCCCTTCCCCCTTGGGAAGTTCCAACATTCATTTCTATTCTCCCGTACTGTTGTGCACTAATGCTCTCATACCTGTGACTGCTTCTCGCTCTCATACCTGTGACTGCTTCTCACTTTCATTTTCTTGATCACTTTCCGGTTTTATGCTCATCCCTGTTGCATATGGAGAGTTTAAAATTAGGCCACTGATCCTTGATGGGGTATCAGTTGCTATGTTGGCTATTGTCTAAGGGAGAACTTCAATAGCAACAAGATTTTAGTGCTGCAATTATAGTCTTTTAAACAAAAAACTTTCTTTGTTAACCTTTCTTTTTGTAGGATGAAAAAAAAATTAAGTAAAATCTGTCTTTAATAACAATAAAACTTAGATAGGATCTTCATATCTCTATGAACCATAATCCTAATATAGAGCAATAAAATTACTTTTTTCTTTATACATAAAGGGTACAATTATATATACACAGCCATTGTTACAACACAAGAGTTTACTGGGAAGACATAATTCCCAGTAGTAGAGTTAGGCAATCAATATGTGACATGAAGTAACTGATACTTGCTTACATAACCCTTATCAATGTTCTTTACATTAAATTCAAATTATCCATACAGGAATTTTCATCGATAATCCCGTGCAAGGGATCTGTATATGAATAGAGAACTCTAGAGATTAGACTAGGTGTGAGACTACAATGCAGAGTACTACTTGGGAGTGAGTGTGTGAAAACCCATTGACTGTACCAGTGAATGGTAAGCTGACATCAGGTTGGATCACCTGACTTTGAGACAGACAGGCCAGTACCTGAACTAGTAACCTGCACTGGGGGCGAAGGCCCTTTTTTTCATTTTTTTTTTTTTTGGTCCAATTTCAAATAAAACTTTATCATGTGATTTAAAAAGCAGTTTGCATCCTACACACATGTAATAAAGTTGGTAGAATTACCGACAATGTATAAAGTAAAAGGACACAAGTGCAACTAATGTGACATTTTATTGTGGCAACGTTTCGCTCTCCAGGAGCTTTATCAAGCCATTACAAACAATACATGGACACAGAGGGTATATAAAGGCTCAGAGTGAGGTGCAATACTAGCGAGGTACCATTTAGATGTTCACTAGTGGTAGTAGTAGTAGTAGTGACAAAAGTAGTAGTAGTAATACAATATGCTCATGTACGAATTAATTGCTCTACCATATTGTATTACTACTACTACTTTTGTCACTACTACCACTAGTGAACATCTAAATGGTACCTCACTAGTATTGCACCTCACTCTGAGCCTTTATATACCCTCTGTGTCCATATATTGTTTGTAATGGCTTGATAAAGCTCCTGGAGAGTGAAACGTTGCCACAATAAAATGTCACATTAGTTGCGCTTGTGTCCTTTTGCTTTACATCCTACACACTTGTTTGTATTGACTTCTTGTTGCAAAGTTGCAAGATATTGCAAAATTGTATTTATAAAACCCTCCCTGGCCTACAAAATTGTATTTATAAAACCCTCCCTGGCCTACAAAATTGTATTTATAAAACCCTCCCTGGCCTACAAAATTGTATTTATAAAACCCTCCCTGGCCTACAAAATTGTATTATAAAACCCTCCCTGGCCTACAAAATTGTATTTATAAAACCCACCCTGGCCTACAAAATTGTATTTATAAAACCCTCCCTGGCCTACAAAATTGTATTTATAAAACCCTCCCTGGCCTACAAAATTGTATTTATAAAACCCTCCCTGGCCTACAAAATTGTATTTATAAAACCCTCCCTGGCCTACAAAATTGTATTTATAAAACCCACCCTGGCCTACAAAATTGTATTTATAAAACCCTCCCTGGCCTACAAAATTGTATTTATAAAACCCTCCCTGGCCTACAAAATTGTATTTATAAAACCCTCCCTGGCCTACAAAATTGTATTTATAAAACCCTCCCTGGCCTACAAAATTGTATTTATAAAACCCTCCCTGGCCTACAAAATTGTATTTATAAAACCCTCCCTGGCCTACAAAATTGGGATGTGTACAAGCTACAACCCCCGGCCTACAAAAATTAAATTTTAAATCCTGGCTCAAAATTGTTTTTAAAATCCCTCCAATAGATTGCATTATAAAACAATCCTGCACAAAATTGTATTTTAAACCTCTGGGTAGAATAAGTAATAAAACCCCCCCATGGTAAAAATATGTAAATAAACCCTCTGGAAAATTTTTTAATAGAACCCTCCTTCATCAAAATTGTATTTGATAAAAATCCATGGACATCTATTTATTACCCTCTGGGCTAAAAAAATAATATTATAAAACTCATCCCTGGCTACATATTTTTGTATTATTAAAACCTCTCTGGGGATGCATGCAAAATTTATTTTGAACCACCCCTACATTGTTGAGAGCCCCGGGGCCTACAAAGTATTAAAACCCTCCCTGCCTTACATGTTTATCCCTCCCCAGAACTTCAAAATTTGGTATTTAATAAAAACCCTCCCGGCAACAAAGTTGTATTTACAAAAATAAAAAAATTATAAATTGCCTACAAAATTTTCCTCCCTGATGACACAAAAAATTATAAAATTACAAAATTTTATTTAAAAAACATGCCTACAAAATAAGGTAGAAACAATGTTCTATCAACATGATGAAAGAAAATTTTTCTAACATTTAATTTTTTGGTAAAGATCAGTTAAAAAATTTTATAATTTTTATCTTTAAATTTTTAAATAAGTCAAAAAACAAAAGGCATTGAATTTACCTCTGTTTTGCCACTTCTGTATTTGGAAAGATCAGCAGGCCTATTATAATGATAAAAAAATAAAAATATAATACAATTTTAGCAATTTTTTTTTATTATGGTGCATCAAATTGGTGTGTTGCCAAACCCAAGCAGGGTGGCCCGAAAAGCACAAACTTCTGCCATCATTTCACCTCCATCATCTGGTTTCAAGAAGGTCTGTCATAACTACAGTTTTTTAAAAATAACATTAACCCAAAACCCCCCATGATGCAGGGAAAAAAAATTACTTTCTGCATACTCCAGACAAAAGTCCGAACAAGCCGATTTCCTCAACCTTCAAAGAGTTTTGCATCAGCATTTCAGGTAAGAAAACTTTATTTGTCTCCATTCACACCTTCAAAAACGTCCTAAACAAACCGCATTTTTCCACTGCTGAAGTCACAAACCTTAATAAACCAAACAAAATTATTTCATTCAGCAATTTTTTTTCATTTTTCCACGCCGACCCACCCAGGGGGCCCCTTCCCACACAACTCATCACTCTTGAGAAGCTCTTTACCTACCCTAAACTCATAACATTAACAACCCTCCCCAAGGCAGGCACTGCTCCAATCTCCGTATCGGCCTTTTTGCCTCATAAAGTTACTTTGCTGCCCCACCAGACGCGAAAAAACTCATCTAACGACGTTCAAACCCTTTACGCATCCTGTGGAAGTCAACCCTGTACACAAACTCCGTTGCCACCCTTCCACCCAACCTTTCTGGGCCCATCCGCTTTCCCGCGATATTTTTGGATACCATTGGTTTTGTCGCTCCATAACCCCTAAATAACCCCGTGGCCCAAAAAAGTTTCCTAGTTGCTATCACCCTTTATAGAAAAGAAAACCTAAAATGGCGAAAAACTCATCAAAGGTTTTCAAAGTAGGATCAGACCAGTACTGGGGAGCAATGTTTGCCTTTCTCGATCCAAAGGGTTTATATTTTTGTATTCCTATGGGTTTATGTTGAACTAAACCACTATGGGACAAAGAAAAGTTCTAGTGCCAGCCTGCAAATAAAGAAAACACAATAAATTAAAAAATCATAGCAAAGCCAAGTTAGGAGAAAGAAAGAGAACCATTCGAAGTGATTCATTGGTTCTATGATTGTTGATACAAACGGGTTCATAAAGGCTATGTGCCAGCCAGCAATAAAGTATAGAAGTACATAGTTAGCAGCAAGTTAGTGAGAAAGGCAGTAGAAAAACACGACACGAAAGTAACCTCAATGTAGTTGGACAGTGTGTACCACCGGCTGAACAATGCCAGCCTGGGCTATTTTCCACTACCTTTGACCTCTTCCAGCATCTCTCCATCAAACTAATTAAAATAAATCTCCTCCCAAAGGGGGGCAAGTGTTTTATATAAAAGTGTAAGCATAAAATATAATAAGTGTACATAAATATAAAAGGATCCCAATGGAATTTGTAAGTATTGAACATTTTTGGGTTATCCTAGGTACTGTACTCATATGCTGCTATGTATGTAATCTGTGTATGGATAATCTGTATTTGTGTAACGGAATAAACTGTTTTATTATAATTAAAATATAATATTTTTTATAATAACTTAATTCATTGTTAAAGTGTGTGGTGTTTGTGTTTTGCAAAGAATCCTCACTGCCACAAACATGCTTCTCTCATTGGCAGCCCTTAAACCCAACAACAACATTTACACCATTTACTCCTCTCATACATTATGTTACGCAAAAATGTGGGATAGCTGGGGGCTTGAGCCTGGTCTAAGGGCAAAGGTAAAAGTTACACACCTCTCAAGCCAACGGCACCCGGGCTATCCCAGTTAAAAACAGAAAGCACTAAACCAGTATGTGTTACGTCAAGGGGTTGGTTAACAAAGGGTTAGGCAAAAATCCCAATTAGGAAAATATATCTATTTAATCACCATAACATAAAAACCTTAATTCTACACGACCAAATGAAGGTACACACAGCTGGCTGG